AAAGACATAATGGCATTCATAAAGCAAAACCAAGAAAAACCATCGAGGAAACTGGAAAGAACTGGGTTTATTGCCTGCCATTAGTACTCTTAAACATACATGTAACCCCTACAGCAGGTGGTTTAACACCCTTTGAGTTAATGTATGGCAGAGCTTACATTATTCCACAACTAAAACCCTTCCAGCGTTCAGATGAAAAGGCTGAACAAACTGGCAGATTATATGGCAAAAACGCTAACATACAAGGAGATTGTTTAAGTTAATTCTGTTCCAGGGGGACCAGTTGAGCCACAGATTAAAACTGTGAAACCTGGCGACTGGGTGCTACTGAAGGTGATTAAAAGAAAGACCTGGTCCAGTCCAAGGTGTGAAGGTCCATACCAGGTACTGCTCACTACACCTACAGCAGTAAAGATAGCTGAGAGGACATCCTGGATTCATCTGTCCCCCTGCAAGCTAGTAAAGCCTTTATCCTCATAAAATAGGTGAAGGACAGTTAGCTACACACCACCGCTCCCTGAAGGCAGCAAGTCTGATTACAAAGGGGACTTTTTCCAATAGGGAAGCGTCATCTCAAACTCAGTGAAGAAACCAACGCCAATAGGAGCATAGGGTGTGACATAAAATAATAAAGGGACAAATAGAGGAGGATCAGAAAACCAGCTGGGGACTGTTTGGACAAACCCCACCTGTAAATGTTAGACCTGAGAGTATAATCAGAAACAGGACCAGTGGTATCGGCATCTAAATCATATCATCTATAGGAATAGTTGTAGTCTTGTTACTTTCCTGGCTCTGCGCTGAAGCACCACAAGTAGTGATAAAAATCAAGAAATAAAAGATACTTTGCAATTTGTGTCCCTGTGCCTGTGATAGAGGGCAGAGAGGGCGATACCATAGTGGCAAAAGTTGACCTGTGTAACCTTATGCAATGTGATGGAGACCCAAAACAGTACATTAGGGAGGACAAGTATATCTGTGCTAAGGCCGAGGACCGCAATCTTTATAGGCCTGTGGGTAGGGGGAGGGGTAATATCCTACACTGTCCCACATGGAACTTTGTAGTGGTTAACACCGGACTCTTAGACTGGGGATATTATCCCACTTCCCCACAGAAGAATCATTTAACCATAGTTAAGGGCTACAGTCATCCTCAGGACTGTACATCTAATAGCTGTAATCCCCTTCTCATAACTCAGAAAGACGCCAAAATATCTGATAGCAGCCTGTATCCCATAGATGTGGATGTGAGAGGAAGTGACCCCATAGGGGCCTTCCATATAGAAGTTACTAAAAGCAGGTAAAAAAAAAAAAAAACCCTCCTCCTTTAAATACTCTCCACAGTACTGAGACACCACTAATGGATAAGGGAGTGAGTTACCTGGAAAACCTTACAGGATGTGATGGCCTTAGAAACAGGATATGCTGATAAAAATGAATGGATGAATGGATTACCTTTACTGCATGACAAAGTGATGTCAGTAATTGTATTGTATGTTCAACTGCCAGACCAGAACTAGGAACTGCTCCTCTCCAACTGAATGAAATAGCAGACTCTACAGGAGTACAGTGCATAGTATAATTGCATGATAAGGTTTTTCCTGCAAATCTTTCTTTGCTGTATCCACCAGTAAACAAAGGTGACGTCCCTCCCTCGGTGAACATTTATCCTGGTAATTACACATGCTTCATACTGGTAAGAATGTCCACTGCCTGCCGCCTGCCTGGTGTGAGGAGACTTTCAACATCACCACTGACCGTGGTGACTATTCTGCCACCTGGTTTGTGAATCAAACTGTTTCAAGGGCAGACATATGGTGGCTCTGCGGAGACGGCAAGTTGAGACCCAGATTCCCCTCACTGTGGTGTGGCAGCTGTGCCCTGGTGCAGCTGCTGATGCTGTTTCACATATTCTCCTTGAGAGAATACAGGGAGCTGGGGGAGAAGTTGTTATCTGCATCCCACCTACATCATGGAACCAGATCTACAGGCAAGCCCAGAGGATCATTCAACAGCAGAGTGTACTTAGATGCAATTGGCGTGCCCCAAGGAGTACCTGATGAATTTAAGGCTAGAAGTCAAATAGCTGTAGGGTTCAAATCTTTTCTTTCCTGGTGGGTCACAGTAAATAAGAATGTGGATTGGATTAACTACTTATACTATAATCAACAACGTTTTGTGAATCATACCAGAGATGCAATTAGAGGCATAGCAGAACAGCTAGGCCCAACTTCTCTCATGTCGTGGCACAATAGAATGGCCCTAGATATATTGTTAGCCAAGAGGGGAGGAGTATGTAAAATGTTTGGCATGTTTTGTTGTACTTTTATACCTAACAACACTTCCCTAGTTGGCAGCATCACCAAGGCCCTTGAAGGACTGACTGCCATATCCGAGGAGCTGGCCGTGAACTCTGACATCAACAACCCCTTTGTAGCCTCCTGGAATCCTGGTTTGGAAAGTGGAGTGGTCTGATCCCTTCTGGGTTGATCTCTCTGTCCATGGCCACAGCCCTGCTGGTTGTGTGTGGCTGCTGCTGCATTCCCTGCCTGCAGGGACTGATGAGAGGACTGATAGACACTGCTCTGACTAAGACAATGTACCGACAGATCCGTGACAAGGAAAAAGGAGAAGACAATCACTACGAACTGGACGATTGGGTTTGAAAAGAGACTTTCCTAATTCTGATCTGAGTGAACCACACATGACTTGTTTCAATGAAAACCTGAAAGGGAAAGTTTAAACAATGAAGATCTGGGATGAACAAGATTAAGAATTATGTTGTTAATAAAGTGATTCTAAAAAGTTTAATCAGGAGGGAAATGTCATGAAAATTACTTTATTAAGTATGTTTTAAACTGTGTTTTAATCAGTATATTAACCAACATATGTTATACAATGGATTTTAAAATTTCAGAACAGACCACATATCACAGGGACCTGTGAGACACTGCCTGTGTAAACTGAAGGACATGTTTCTACTTTGCTTTAGTACTTTGTGTGTTGTTCAACCAAATTGCACTCCAGACTTAAAGGAAGCCAGCCATAAACTGTGCTTGCCATAAAATGTGAAGATAAAACAGGCGCAACAGCTTGTTTAGTGTCCAAGGGGTTATCAGGGCAACCCCCTTCAACTTCCTTTTGTTGTTTTAAATCTACTTTACAACTTGATTGACGCCTGGGTTACGTCTTCAGGGAGTTCCCTTTCTCCTATATATTGTGATGTTTAGACTAAGCTCATTCAGACAACTCTGTATGCCCATGCTGACTTGTCTCCTTTCTGCAAGTAAACCAATCTCTTATTGAAAGATTCCAGTGACTTCGTTGCTTCTTTGTAAATTCTTTTGACATAAGGCTAACCTCAGTCAGGTTATGCTTGACTGTTATCAACATGTTTCCTGTACAACTAGAGGGGCAAACACACTGGACCACGTCTACTCTCTGTTGAAATGGTAAATGGTCTTATACTTGCTGCAGATGGCTGCCTCGGTTCTGTACCAAAAACAAATTCCTTGTGTGTAACATAGTACTTGGCCAGATAAAAGTAAAGAAAGTCACTTTCGGCTTTTCCCATTTAGGGGTCACCACAGCGAATTGTCACACTGACAACTCACATCTTGACTTTTGGCACAAGTTTTCCACTGGATGCCCTTTCTGACGCAACCTGGATTTGAACCCAGGGCGCCGCAGCAAGAGCGCTGTGCCTCAACCACTAGCCTACCAGGGACAGCTATGCTTGGCCAAATAAAAGTGATTATCGTAATATCAGGCTTTGTGACACCTGGTGGCACAAAGGGGAACTGCAGGCTGGATTTTATTAATCTGGTACAGGGTTGACCTGGCCATGTACTGAGATCCTGTGCTGATATTCATACTAGTTTGTTTACCATCATCCATCTTTAATGAGTCCCTAGCTAAATCTGTGGTCTCCACCTGCTTTAAGGATGTGTTTTCCTGTACCAAAGAAGAATAAGCTGTCTTGCCTAAATGGCTATAGATCTATAGCCCTCACCTTACTAGTCATGAAGGTTTTTGAAAGGCTTATTAAAATACTATCTGCTGCTATATCCCTAAAACTATTGACCAACTCACTCCAGTTCATCCACCATCCTAACAGGTCTACTGAAGATGAGATCACCTGCACACCACCCTCACCCACACTGATACAGAAAAAGGGTGCTGTTTAGAGACTATAGCTCAGCCTTCAACATTATATTCCCCCACAGGCTGGCCTCCAAGCTCAAGGACCTTAGATTAAATGTCTCCCTCTGTAACTGACTGGACTGAACTGGACTTTCTCACAGGCAGACCCAGGTAGTAAGAGTGGGCCAGTTCACCTGCAACACCATCACCCTGAGTGCAGGAGCCCCACAGGGATGTTTTCCTGGGCTCCCTGCTCAAAACCTAAAAAGCACGTATATATAATAAGAGAAGATAGATTTGTCACATGCATAGTCATTAGCAGTGCACTTCAATATACAAATAATTTAATTATTCCCTCCTGACTGAAACTGCACCACTTGATTAAAAATAACTTAGGATGGGTCCTGCTGATCTCTCAATACTCTGTTTTATTAAACTCATGTCTTTTTAGAATCATTCCAATGTCCCTGAGTTTCTTCCTAATCTGACCCCACTTAAATCTCAGATTATCTTGCTTACACTAAATAAGCCGGAGAACAAACCTGCTCACAAGCAGATTTGAGATTATGGACATGTTGCCATGACAACAAGTCCTGTGAGACCTTTAAGCACCAACAAATTTGGCAACACAACTTGTCAACAAAGTTATCTGGCTAACCTGTTAATCAATGGACAAAGAACTCTCCCAGGCAATAACAGAGATTCATAACAAGTCTAAGGAGTAGGCCAGGTTTACTATTTGTACTGTACTATGGTATGCAAATAACTGTATATGTGACAAATAAAATCTTATTTCATCTTATTATAGTTTTTATTTAAGTAAATCAACCAAGATCCTCCATCAGAAGTGGTCTTACCTTGTCTGCTCCACACTCTGTTCCATCGAGAGGAGGGTCCAGTTTGGTCTTGCAGGATGCATCTCCTTCTACTAAACACCACAGGCCAGCACACATCAGGTGCTGGTACACACATAAAAAAATATGGAAAAAGAAATTCTCACAGAAATACCAATATTCACATGGTAAATGCAGCATCAGATTAATTTAGTGTCAAATTCATGTATTTTCATGTATTCCACTGAAAACAACACAGCAGCATATTATTTGATGTGATACCTCATCAATTTTATTCTTTGTTCAAAATAAACACTCACTTCAATCCTGATGCTGCAACACATTCCAAAAAAAGTTGGGCCAGTTGTATTTCAGGGCCAGTAATGAGGTAAAACAATGAAATGATGATTCCTTTTGAAACAGGTGATGCCAACACATGACTGCATCATGATTTGGTACAAAAGTGGCATCCAGGAAAGGCTGAGCCCTTTAGGAGCAAAGATGGGCCAAGGACCACCAGTTTGCCAACATATGTGTGAGAAAATGATTCAAATGTTTAAAAACAATGTTCCTCAAAGAAAGATAGGAAGGGATTTGGATCTGTCACCCTCTATGGTGCAGAACATCATTAAAAGATTCAAGGAATCTGGAGGGATTTCAGTGTGTAAAGGATGAGGACCAAGCCTCAACTGGATGACCGAGCTCTCTGATCCCTCAGACGGCCCCGCATCAAGAATCGTCACTCTTCTATAAGCGATATAACCACATGGGCTCAGGATGACTTTGGCTCACCTGTGTCAGCCACTACAATACGTAGTTACATCCATAAATGCTGCTTAAAACTGTGCTGTGGTCATCATACAGAAGTGGATGCTACAACTACATTCATTGGAATTTATTGTGTTAAATTTATTGGGTTCAGTGTCTTGCCCAAGGACACTTCGTCATGTGGACTGCAGGCACTGAGATTCGACCTTCGACCCTCCAGTTGGGAGATGACTGCTCTACCCACTGAACTAGTCACCCCCGAGCGAGCCTTTGAACGAGCCTCTGCTGTCCAACCAATCAATGAAGGCCAAAGTCAGGGGTCGGCACTCATAGCTGTCAAACAATATATAGCTGTACTTCTGGACTAGTTCCAAAGTTTCTTATAGGGTTGTTCCTCTGTCCTCAGACCTCCTCCTCGAACCTGAACAGATGTTTTTTTCAAGTCAATCAAAGATCAAGGACATCCAAGGGCTGTTATTTCTGCTCGGAGGATCAAGGACCACGGTTGCTGCTGGAGGAGCCATGAGTGAGGATACATAAGACCATCCTTTACAAAAGTCTTTTATTGACTGACACATCCCTTTATTGGAAACCATTTGGGGACTGGACGCTTTGGCTGAAATCTTTTCCTTGTTTGCTCGCTCTTTACATTTTTCCTTGCCTTTCTTCACATTTTACTTGAGTGAAAGTAAACTGTAATGAAAAGACAAGTGAGGGAAACCTGAACCTATATAAGAGACTGAGAGAAGCAGCCATAATGAACTGCTCCTCTCTCACTGAGGCTTTAATTTAGTATTAGATAGTGGGACATGTCGCTATGGCTGCCTTACAGGCTGGCAAGCTCCCAATTCCTGCGTGAGAAGGGAAAGGAAGGGGTGGAGGGAGCAGAATGGTTTGCTTTTGAGTCTCAAGGTAGTGTTATCTGGATTTCTAGAACCTGCACCTTTAAAATCTGTGCAAGTACATCCCCTTAGAGGAACAATGATGGCTAATGGCATCATGAAGACATGTGACAGCTTTGGGAAAACATTAAATCAGTGAAACAGCAGTGAAAACCGAACCAAAACTACTCACAGCATCCACAAAGAGGAAGTCAAAGGTCATTGACCATGAATCACTCTCATTGCATAATAAACTTCTTCTAATCTTTGATTATATGTCCTTATTTAGATGTTCTTTGTTGAAGTAACTTAACTCATACAGTCTAGATCTCAATCGATCTCCTGGGTTTAGGGTAGGTTGGACATACCAAAAATGTGATATATATACTAAATAATATGTGATATTTAAACTAACAGTGTGTGTTGTACCTCCATGTCATTGCAGAATGTGGCATTAGTTCCAAACAGGATTTGGCACTGTTCATCCACACTGTAGTGCATGCCTGGCAGTTTGGGGGGCAGCTTGACCTTGTAGTGGCTCCTGAAGTCTGTTTGCAGTAGGCAAGCACTGGCTTTGGACCTGTTTGAAAGAGACAGGATTCATAGTGAATAGAGAATAATTTGCACTGAACTGTTTTTTTTAATTGTCAAATGTGAATCCAAAAACAACTTGTAATTTAGAGTGACAGGATTTGATTAATGTTATTTATTTTGAAGATGTAGATGAGCATTGATGGTGTAGTGGTTCAAATTACAAGCTAATGTGGACTATGTAATAGAATACCATCTGAGTGGTAGATTACCCCTAACAGTACATTTATAGCTAGAGCCAAAAGATGCTACATAACTTGGGCATAACTTCATCCTTGTGTGAACTGTTCAAGTGCTCACTTTTAGGGTCATGTTTAAAAAGGGAAACGACACACACAATAGTCAAGCTGTTTCCTGTTTTTGGATAAGACAGGAAGCCAAGTTTGGGAATTGACATGAGAGCCAAAAATGAGCTGTGTACAAAAAGAGGTAGTATGCTGCTGAGGTGAAGGGGAGTGTGTGTGTGTGTTTGGGAAAGACAGACGAACAGCAAGAACCCGGCCGGGAGGGGACCGACCCGACTCTGGACTCTGACTGACGGTACTGTAGGGCCAACAATGACTGACTGATTCTTTGACAAGTCTCATATCTAATACTAGCGTTTATTTCCATGCCGAGATGGTGATTCTCTTCCCTATCTTTCAGATTGCTGAATTGTCTTATAACTTATTGAACTGTTCAGAAGTATTGTAATATTAAATAATCATTGGGATGGTTTACCTGAATTAATTTAGTTCACATCAGACCCTAACAACCACAATGGTGACATTAAAGGATATACAGTATGAGCCAAAACAAGATTCGGTTGTATGTGTGACTTCTTCCTGTTGTGCATTTTTCTCAGGGCACTGACTTATATCATTCTGCAAATGTGCAATTTTCAGTTGAGTTCATAGGACACGTTTTTACAATCCTGTATGGTTATCAGCAACAATAAGTTGGAATAGAGGTAACTGGTTCACTAGGGTCATTAAATGGGTTCCTTTCATTCTCAGTGTTTCACTGAAGACCGGCACAACTAGGGTCTGTCCTAGCATCTTTGATACTATTTGTATGGGTGTTCCATCAATGTGGAAACTCCGGTCTTTGAGCTCACCTTTGATAATGGACATGGTTCTGGACTTGTTGGGCTTAAATTTCACTCATGCCCATTTTATGTTGGAATGCCAGGACATTGGAATGTCATTCGGACTGGATAAGTGTGGTCAAATGGTAACAAGGAGAGGGAAGGTAGTCAGAACTGAGGGGATTGTACTACCAGAAGGCAACATAGCAGATGTTGAGGGCAGCTACAAGTACCTTGGGATCCTGCAGGCAAATGAGAACCATGAAGAGGCCGCAAGGAAAGCAGCAACTACCAAATACCTGCAGAGAGTAAAGCAAGTCCTGAGAAGTCAGCTGAATGGAAAGAACAAAGTCCGGGCAATTAACACCTACGCCTTGTCGGTCATCAGGTACCCCGCTGGCATAATAAGCTGGCCAAAGGACGAGATAGAGGCCACTGACATCAAGACAAGGAAGCTCCTTACAATGCACGGCGGGTTTCACCCCAAATCCAGCATCCTGAGACTGCACACTAAGCGGAAGGAAGGAGGCCGAGGATTAGTGAGTGTCAGAGCCACTATCCAGGATGAAACAACAAAGATCCATGAATACATCGGGAAGATGGCCCCAAGTGATGATGTGCTTAGTGAATACCTCAGGCAGCAGAAACCAGAGGAACAAGGGAAGGAAGAGCAGGAACCCTCATGGAAGGACAAACCGGGGTCTACCATACCAGACAAGACCCCAGTTGCAGGCTGTGCAAAGATTTCCCTGAGACTATCCAGCACATAACAGCGGGGTGCAAGATGCTAGTAGGCAGGGCATACATGGAACGCCATAACCAAGTGGCTGGCATAGTGTACAGAAACATCTGTGCCGAGTACAAGCTGGAAGTCCCAAAGTCAAAATGGGACACACCTCCAAAGGTGGTTGAGAATGACCAAGCTAAGATCCTGTGGGACTTCCAGATACAAACTGACAAACTGGTAATGGTCAACCAACCGGACA